ATATAGCCGCGGCATAGCGTGAAAAAAAAAATCAAAGCGATGACGAGTCTCGCTGCAGTTATTATTTTATATAGCTGTGCAAACTCTTCTTTATCTCGGCCGCCGTCTCGCGGAAAAAAGTCGCTCCCGCTGCCATTGTCGCGTATGCTTTTTCGCCTTCTATTTCCTCCTCTCTCTTTTTTAAGTGAGCTCATTGTCCGTGTCGTGGAACAAAGACTGTGTGTGAAATAGAGGGAGAGGAAAAGAGAGAGAGAGAGCCGAGTGCTTACATGTATGCAGCTCTCTGTGGCTATGTGCTGCGGGTGCTTGCGGGTCGGGGTGTATGTATACTTTTGCTCGCTCGTGAACTTGACACTTGCGCGGCGCACTCCACCTCTGACTCTGCTCTTTCCGAAGGTACATCGCGGCTTATTCAATATATCTTTGCTCACATCAGCTATAACCGATATTATCTATTAAATTTCAAGAGGTAGAGAGAGATTAAAAAATAATCTCAAACATACTTTTTGAAGCAAATAAAAGACGCCGATTTGACCCTGCGTTCTTATCTTTTTACAAAAATTTTAAAAAGAAAACGATATAATTCAAAAAAACTTGACGGATCAATCGATTTATCATTGACCTTTCAAATGCCTCGTTTCGTGACTTCAGTCACATAATTCATCTCTCGGTAAAATATCGTATCGGACACACGTTCTCTCTTTCTGTGTGCACATGCGTGGGTGGGTGGGTGCTGCACTCGATATTATCATCGAGAAATTCTTGGACGGATTGAAATATAACGTGCAGAGTCCGGGTATTATGTGTGCTATAAACAGGCGCCGCGTGCATACACACACATTGAATGCGATTGCCCAGTAATTTCGCTAAAAGCATGTTTACGGCGTAGCCACGCGGATTTTCAAGTCTTTCGTACCTATATATACGGCTCTTTTACGACAGGCCAAGAGATAAATGTACGCGCGTTCGAGAATCGGAGATAAATTTATCCTTTAACAAAATTGAATATTTAATGCCGTCGTCATGCTTCGCGAATTAAATTGTACCGTGTAAGCGCATCGATTGATCGTTAAATTATTTATGCGGGAGAAAATTGTTCGCGTCTGGTGCCTGCAAATACAAATGTACATAACGCGTATGTATAGCGCAGGAAGACGACTCTCGAACGGAAATAAAAGTTTCACGATAACCGACTAGTCTCTTTTCTCCAACGCGAAGGCGTGAATTTATTTTTGCAAATGTACTTACGTAAACCTACCGATCGATTTTTTACATTAATATTTTCGTACGATTTTATCCTACCTTTATTATGACATTTTCCAAATTTAACGATTTTCTTTAAAATATTTTTGAATAAAACTTAATCAGTACTTATTTATTTGTTTACATAAATTATATTTTACATTCAAATAAAAAAATTAAGATTAAACATAAACGTTGTAATACAGATTTATTTTTTTACGTTGATTGTTAAAAAAATGTATGAAAATTCTATTATAAAATAATAAAAGCAATCTCCACCGCTAGATGGCGAGTACATTCATCTGTAAATCTGCAAGTGACAAAGTGAAAATAGGAATGTATAAGTAAAGAAACAAAAAACCCAAAAGTTAGTTGAGAACACTTGAAAATTTTAAGAAATTATAAATTAATAAATAATAACTCCAATAAACTCGGGGTTAGTTGTGAGACCTAAGAAATTTTAAAATCTCGAATACGACGTAACTGAATTCAATGCGAACTACAAGTATAAACAATAATGTTATTATATGCACGTTTATAAATTTAATATAATTAAAGTCTGGCATTAGAAAAATATACAATGTAAAACATAACTACATGAAAATCAATGTGAGTTAAAAGAATTAATTCTAACGAATTTTAAATTATATCTAATTTTCATACGATTTAAGATAAAGTCTTCAATTTGAATTAATATACGCAAAGAAAAAAGACATCCTCTTTTACATTAATTTTTTACATTTACAATTTTCCACTAATTTTAATATAAATTTTTTATACATACACAGGTACATAATTTTTCTCAAAAAATTATTTTATATTTTGAAAAAAAATTTTCTCCTTCTGATATTTTTGACAATTTCACTGGTTGTAACTATTGATGTGCCAAAGATGTGAGCAAAAATTGCATACCATATAGCTGAAATGATTCTCTTTGAATATTACGACAATTAAACGAATTTTTACGAAAAGAAAATTGCAAAAAAAAACGAAAAAATGAGATAATTAAATAACAAAGGGAAAACAAAATCGTACTGGCAAAAGTAATAAAAAATCGATTTCAAGATGTGTGTAAGCCTTTAATTGAGCTTTATATACGTACACGAGGCTATCGCGAATTAATGAATTTTTCACGTCATCGGGTACAAACGAATCGGAGGTGAACGGAACTTCCTGTTTTGTTTCCTGCTGAATGGAAGCGATGATTCGATTGTGCGAAATGGTCGTGTCTGCATTTAAATTGTTTTTTGATCGAGTTCGTATGTATATTTATGTGCTTGATGAACAATCCAACGAGAGAATGCATAAAGTCTTCTGAGAAAAGTATAGTGAAAAATTGCGACTGACCTTGTTGGTTAGGAAAAAACTTTGAAAGTTTTGTTCGAGAGAATGTAATGGGGTTGAAGCTACGGACTTTATGACCAGCGTGGCAAAAAACTTACTTCTTTATTTTCGACGAGTTTCATCTGTAAAAAAACTTCGTGGTTCGAACTCTTACAGGGTGAAATTTTTCATTCAGAGTCATGACTTTACTTTCAACCAATAATGAAAATGTTCTTTAAATGCGTAGATTCTTCGAATTTTATTCGCTGAATGATTGTAAATGTCCAGATGTAGGGTAAAACGTAAAAAACAGCTGCGAATAGTATAAAAAAATTCTCGAAACTTATACGACTAACCAAAAAATAAAGGTGGAGTGTTGTTAATGAGTGTTATTTTATTTATAACTCAAAATTGATGCAGCCGAAAAACTTTGTGACTTTAATCAAATAATAAATAATAATCATTCGAAAAGAAAAATAATTCAAATTTTAGATTGCCTTTGAAATTTTCATTGAGCAGAGCGCTCTCTGAGTTTACATAGCGAATTTATGAATGTTCAACAAAGAATTTTTAAATTTTAGGTTGTTTGACGTAAAAGAAAACAAACTTGAAACAATAACCTGGAATTTCGGAATTCATAAAAGTTAATTAATTAAGAAATGATTATAAAAGTAACAGTAAACAATTTTTTCTAAATAATCTTCTCCGATTTAATACTAAATTCATCGGAAAAAAGCATCTCTGTTTAAGATTGAATTAAAAAACGCAGAGAATTTTTTTTTTAAATCACGGTAAACTTTATATTGGCGATGATATTTTATGTTGGCTTTCATTTCAAAGCCTCGTATTTTATAAATACGTACAGATATTGGTCCGAAATCTAATCTATTTTTTAAAAATAGTAACGAAAGTAGCCGCAAGGCTTTCGTTAATAAAAAGTCAATTTTTCACCCGTATCGCCATCGAGCTTTCTCTATCCACACTATAAGGAAACGAAACCCGATCTAAGCCCCCCGAGCGCACATGCACACGCGTACACAAAGCTAGACGCGTGTTTGTTTGGTAAAAAAAGCTTATATATGGTATATGTATAAAAAAAATATGTAGGTCACGAGGAGGCTTGTTTCTTTTCTAAAGGGAAAGTACAGTGCGGAGCGAACCAATGCAATCACCTTCTTCCTACATGGAAGCTGCAGCACACACGAGCTTTATTCGCACGCGAGCCTCGCATGAATAGCCGCAAAGCATCGACGGCTGCATAAGCTCGGCTGACTCTTTCTTTCTCTATAGCTTATACAAATCTGCAAGCTCGAGTTTTTTCAATGGCTTTTGTCCTTGAGTATACGCGCTCGACATTTATGTATCCATCGACGATTAAATATTTCATTGGCAAATGGAATAATCAAAAGGATTCGAGAGAGCTTGTGTGTGTGTGCCGCGCGCGTCTAGCATCCTTGAGAGGCTCATGTCAAAGCGTATCAAGACCGCAAGGCTAATAAGCGCGCGTACAACAAAGCGGCTCTCATTTACACAGAGCCGGCTCACAAGTCCATTAATCTTCCTCGCATATATATCCAAAGTACGCCGTGGCGCATCCCTGTCATCTCGGCGCTTGCTATTTACCCCTTCGGCGAATAACTAATGCCAGGAGAGCTCCTATGTGCGTGCTTTCGTGCGCTTATACGTACGTACATAAACATCGGCAAGCATCCTCTGATTAACCGCGACGTGACTCGTCGATCGATCGTATAATTTTCTTGCTTTCTTCGTCGTTGCCACCGCCTTTTTTTCGCCTTTATGACATACACATACACACACGCGCGCATATGATGTCACCGATAGATACAGTGGTTGTATACGAAACACATCGATCTCTCTCTCTATCCGTAGGAGCTTCGAATTGCCCGTATACGTATATTCGAAACGAGGGTGAATTTGCTCGATTCGGAATCACATGCTGCTCGTTCAAGCGCTGTATCGTAGCGTTCGATATTAGGCAGCTTTTTGTGTACAAATATCGCACCATCGAGATTTAACAAGTGTCGAGTATACATAAGCAGCCCCGCTAGCAAATAACGAGACGTGTAATGGCTTCTTGGCACGCGTCAAACGATACGCGCCATAGTCGAAAAAAAAAATACGTTTATACGATATAAGGAAGCGATCGATAGATCGGGAATACATTGGTACACGTGCGGTCGTCCGTATTCGCAATCGTGCAGCATCAGCACATATCTCGTTGATAAAAAGCTCGAGAAATCGTCTAATATATCCTCGAAATCTGCAGTGTGCGAACATCTCCGCTAGCTGTATGAAATACGTGTATATAGGAGTGTAAACGCGCGCGCATTTGTCGCGCGCGAGTGGGTGGCGCGAGGGCGAGACGTGGAGGGGTTGCTGTATACAGAGCAGAGTTAAGTCACGTTAGGATACGAGAAAAAAGGCAGCCACGCTCGCGCCGACACCTTATAACAGTCGGAGCCTCGGCGCCGGCCAGGCGACTCTTCTTCCTTAATATACATTTAATAATCCTATCTCGGTTCTGTACACCTTCCCCTGCCGTATCATGACGTAACTTTATGTAGAATTTGCATTGTGTTTTTAATCGTAAGAGTCTCACCCCGTTCAGTTCGACGCACAAAGTAAACAGAGAGTGCACAGTTTATCAACAACAGCAACATCGAGCTTGCGATTGCAGAGATAGAAGAAGAAAATTGCTCGGAGCCTTGATTTTCGAACGTGTTTGTGTATGCACGAAGCGATTCGGTCTTGTGCGCGCGTGCAGTTTCGCGAGTGGCTGCTGTAGTGCGGCAGAGATGAACACTTGACCTTATACATCCGTGGCCTAGGCATTGAATCGAGTGAGAGAGAGAGAGAGAGAGAAAAAAAGAGTTCGTGTGTGTGTGTGTGTGCGTGTGTGGGTGTCGGTGCAGCTGTGCACCAGAGAGTATTATACCTACGATCCTTGTCGCAACTTTTAATGATGCTGCTGCCGTGTATGTGCTCAAGTGCTTATGTACTCAGGGGCGCCGATCCGATCGACGATTCACAACGTGCAAGACGATTACGTAAGGACTTTTGATTCACCTATTCGAGGTGAATGAAAAAAATAAGTGGAGAATCGCACGAGCTTCTGTTTTTGTGTTTGTGTGTGTGTGTCGGTAACTGTTATAATCGACAATCGAGAATGAATCACGGGCTCGCGAGAGTTTAGCGACTATGACGACGATCGATCTCGCTCCTCCCTTGCGTTGCCAAAGCTTTTCTTCTCTCGCTCGTGTGTATCCGATGCCTTGAAATCGTACGTGCTTACGAAGCAGCGTCGAGGACGAAATTTGAATGAGCACAAAGAGACCCTCACAAGCTTATATATAGTTTGTGTGCCAGTGTGTAAATGAATGTGGCGTGTTGTCGTAAATTCATTGCGTGCAATTAAGGAACTTTTTAAACTCCAGTTTGAATTTAAATTCGCTCGAAGCGAAACGTACTGGTCGGGCAGCATCGGCGGGCTTTATAAGGTTCAAACAAGTTGAATTTTATTTCGTTTGAAAAGAGAAGCGCAGCTCTGCCTTGCTCGAGTTCTATCGTCGAAGCATTAGCATTCTTTGAACTTGATTAAAATTCCCCATTACGATTGTGTTGAAGTTTACTTTTTCTATTCGACGAAACAAGGCGTGCCTCGACACAGGGTTATATAATAGGGAAAAAGAAAAAAGTAAAAAGGCCAGAGCTTTTACGATAATAGCCGCGTCCTTGTCGCAATTAAGAAATAAAAAGAACGATAAAAAGCAGCAGCAGCAGCAACGATGATACAGGTCGCGTGCAACCCGGATCCCAGCAACAAATCGCTGGGCACGCGCTGCGAGCGACTGCGCCGCAAGGGCTTGATGTTTCTCGCCGATGTACTAAAGCTGCGGAAATTTCGCTCTTTGTCAGGCAGCATGAGGATCGACGAGCCTCAGCGCAATAATGCCAATGTCATCGACGCCGGCTACCATCGTCATCATCCTCATCAGCAACATCACCACCATCATCGACATCAGGGCCTGACTCTTCTGTCCAGGAGTAATCCAGGTGAGTTAGTCAGCAGAAAAAAAATTGACACAATTTTTTTACGTATACACACGTTTTTTATATGTATTCATAAGCTGGGAGTGCCGCAAATGAACGTGCATCAATATTCGATAATCCGATGAATTTTTAAATGCAACCTCAGCTTGTGTCGACTGGATCGTATGCACGAAATGCACTTGTCTTTCTATCGATTCAATAATTCATAATTATAAATGTTGCATTGTACCGAAAACAATGATAAAGTTTTAATCGTTTTTGCGCATAATGGATTAGTAAATCGTTAACTAAAAATTATCCGTCGAGAGCCAGGCTAAAATGTGCAGCGTACGCGCGCACACAATAAGCTGAAAACATTGCTCGTGGCACTCGAGAGAAATCGATGAGATGTATCGCAAAATGTTCAAAATGCATCACGCACAAAACGATCGAAATACAAGTCGCTCGCATGTACGCGTGCATATAATATATACGTGCACACGATACATGTGTATGTGACCTAGGCTGTCACTCCGCGACATGAAACGGAAATTCATATTTAGAAACGAGCGTATACACGTTGCGCATGAAAAATAAAAGACGAGTAAAACATCGAGAAACAAGCTCGAGACGCAGGATCGGCTTTCATTCGCATCTCGCTCAATTATATCTTTTTTTTCTCGATACAGCTTCATCGAATATTTTTGCGAATCTTCGCGATCATGCGACGACGGCATAGCCATGCATAAAGGAGAGCTTGCGGTAGTGGCTTCTAAGCGCGATAAGGCGTCTGCACGTTACACTTCAGATTCAATAGGAGCTTTGCTATCGCTTCAAGACACCCGGCGAATGCGACGCCTAGTATCATATTGTGTAAACTATCGTCCTTTGTTACCGCGACGTGAAATGCATATCGCGCGTCCCGTCTATTCATCTCTCGTCATTGTATACAGCTCGAATGTAGAGCGCGATATAACGAAACGCGGGCCGATATAATAATATCGATCTTCCGAAATATCCATACAGTTGGAATGACGGGCACGGACAGCTGGAGACGGGAAGGAGACAACGCCTCGGAGCCGACATCGGGCTCGTCGTTGGCCAGCAGCACCACGACGGCCGGCGACGATCGCCTCGGCAACGCACCCTCGAGCCTGAGTTGCTGCTCGGATCACACGACGGGAGGAATGATGATCGAGGACGACAACGACGCCTCGCCGGCCCACTCGATCGTCACCCTGACTCCCGGCCGTACACGCAACATCGACCAAGACATGGAGGCGTTGAGATTGAGTCGACAGGACAATCCATTTTTGCAGGTGAGTCTCTTGTTTCTTCAAATTTTTTCATGTTACATTTCTTATCGGACGTTTCCTAGGGAGTTCGATAATAAACAACTCAGAGCTTCTGAAAATGTAAAGAGTAATACTCCAAAATTCGATTGGTAATGTAACAAAATTCATTTTAATTAAAGATGTCATCTTTTATCATGAGTTTTTAATTCCGTCGACAGATGGAGTGTTGTAAACTCGCAAGTGCGAAACAAATTTCCGATTAGTACATATATACGAAAAATGATTATTTTTATGACAGTGGCTGTATTGTAATGTGATTTGATAATATTGAAATTGTATTTAAATTAAAATTTTGATTATTTTCTTTTACACGACCGACAAAATAACGTGTCGATATCGAGAATCTTGCGAAGCACGCATACATTACAATTGGATCCTTTGGTTACGCAAAATGTTTTGAGCTCACCAACTTTCTAAGCTCGATATTGGAGCGAGTCTCTTGCGCTTACTTTTGCGCGAAAAAAGAGAGAAAAAAACTTGCATTCCCATCCAAATGAAACTTCTTTTTCGCGTATATAGGGGTGTTACGTAAACTTTTCACGTTTTGAGCTTTGATTGCTTTCTTCTCTCTCTCTCTCTCTCTCTGTTTCTCCGGTACTAGAAAACATTCACAGAGCTTGAAATAACTTGTTAGGGAGATACCAAAGTCAGGCTGAAATGAACATTTTCAAACGCGTTTTCCAAGATTTTCTCTAAATATTTTTCTAAAAAGCTACGCGAATTTTTGTAAAAGATTAAATGAAAATATTCACGTAGTTTTTTAGAAAAAAATCCAGAGAAAATCTGAGAAAACGCGTTTCGAAAATTTCATATCAGCCTTGACTTCGGTGTCTCTTCAAATGACTTTATCGAGGAAAAAAGTAAATACAATACGTATTTTTGATAGTCATGTTTACACTAGAAAGTGAATTGAAAATCTTCTAACGACAAAATTTATAAATTTGACTAACGCGTAAAATACGATACGTACTTTAGTTTTAGTTCTTAACAATTCGTCGTTATTTGTAATGAAAAACAAAAATCGGTTCGTTTGTATAGGTACTAGCGAGCAAAGAGAGCCTCATCGATCCCACAGACGAGTCAGAATCGGACGACGCAATTCTCATGTCACAGGTATGAGTTTTTTCTCAAAGGTTTACCCGTTTAATTAAAAGTATTGAAAAAAAATCGTTTGAAACGTTACATAGGAACTAGGTGAAACGGATCCACTGACCCTGGCACAGGTGCACGAGCACTTGGTGCGCAGCCCGCCACCCGTATCCTGGACGAGAGGGCCGGTCTTTCAATTTTTCCCCCAGCATCAGCAGCTGGAGAGTCCGAGCTGCAGGTCCGAACCCAGCGCTCGCTGCAGGACGGCCTCGCCGCGGCCCACCTGCGGCAACGATCACGAGGATGCTCGAGGTCAGACATCGTTTTATTTCGTTTACCGTATGGATTTGTTACATTTCAAAGTACGGGAAAGCGGATTATTTTGCGGTTTATTGCTTTTCAATGAAACTTTGATTTTTTGTAAAGTATTGAAATTCCGCTTCGTTTTCAATAAAATTCATTCGGAGCGAATACATCTCAATACGAAATCGGAAAAACGTACAATATTTAATAAATATGGTCTCAATTTTATCTACGTCGTAAATGATAAAAAATCTACTGATTCATCAAAACTTACAGTGACGAGATAATTCCATAAAATTGATACCATTGAGTTATGTTATAAAGAAATAACTACATTTACTTTTCACCAGAAGCAAAAATAAGTAAAATTGACTAAGCAGGCAAGTCTGCCACGATTCGCGGCATCGATAAAACTTTTTTGCATTTACTTTGGGGCACGGAACATGAAATTTTCTACGTTACCGAGATAAAAATTGTGCAATCTACGATAACCCTTGAAAGGTCGAAGGCACTCTTGCGTGAGCTCGAGCGCCACTTCCGTTATCGGTCAAGCCCACCGAGGGGATCATCGCGATCGTGAACATACTATTTGAACAGAAAAGTGGTCAATTTTACCAAATCAGGCGCTCTTTATGCAAAAAAATTACTGTGTCATTCTTCCGGTATTTGCACGAGAAGAGTAAAACGAGTGGAGCTTTCATAGATCTTACTTCGAAAACCGGAGGCGCCAATTCGACAAATGTCCTTCGACTGCTGCCGCACGTGTAACTCTCTATAGCTGTAAGGGAGGATCGAGGCAGCTTTTTCACGTATAGCTGCATTCGTATAGCGGGAAAAACTTTCATGAAAAATACGGCTGGCTTGTTTATTCCTCTAACGAAGCGCGGCCGCAAATTCCAATAGCTACATTCAGCGTGTGTTTACAGCGTAGCAAGGACGCAGACAAACAGAGCCGCACGAGTTCGAATTTTGAAAAGCCGCTTGATCCGGTGAAAAATAAAAGACATAACGTACAATGTACCCGTGGAGAAAAGACAATTATTACGTAAAGCACAAACCGCCCTCGACCTTGCTCGATGTTCCCCGACACACACACACACACTGTGTCTTCTTTCTCTCTCGCTCACCCTCATTCAAAAAGCCACACACATGTACCGCAATGCGAAGGACTTATCGATTCTCGCGCATATATATACATAGATTATACACACGACGGGAGGGCGGTCGCGCCGAGTACACGTGTATTTCATTTTGAAAAGGAAGGCGCTAACTGCGACGGCTCCTTTCCCGTCGTGATAGTAAATACGTGCATGAATTTTCGGCAAGTTTACGAGCTCACGCAAAGGAGCTCGCTGACTTCTCCGGCGAAATCGATGATCATTTCCATCCTGACCTTGAAGCTTTCGTCTATAATTGTATTCGTTTGTATCTGTGCGCGTGTGAGTGCATGTACGTGGCTCTGCACACGCGTTGTAATTTTCGCGATGTTGCGTGCACATAGCTTGGGTATTGTGGATCCTAAGGATAATCCTTTTCCGCCTTTGTTATTATCTCGTCGGTAAAGTAGAACTCGCACAGAAAATAAGCTCTATATAACGATTTTTCCCTCGATTCAATGTAACTCGTCGTTTTTCTTTTTTTTTGCCAACAGATCGTCACTCGCACACGTTTTCATTGCTGAATCCGACGCCCATTCGTTCGCTCTCGGAGGTACGCAGGCTGCATCGTTCGACTGAGGACAGCGTCCAGCTCATGTCGTCCGAGTGAAGGGATTTTCTCATCCTTTTTTTTCAACGAGACTCGCCGATGAAGAAGTATGAGAAGGAGAAAAAAACATGAAAGTCTTTCGTTCGGTTGCATGTTCCGCATAATAAATAGAATATTTATAAATTAATACATCAGATCGATTGATGATCTCGTTGAGCCTTTTAAGGTCTGTCAATGGGATCAGAGTCGACGGAAAAATAATCATATTAGAAAATCGTTAACTATGTATGATAAGTGTTAGTAAAAAATGAGATTTTAAATATCTTAGCACGTTTAGAAGCAGGGGGTACGTAAATTAAAAAGTACAGAAAAACTAGATCATGCGATCGCTTTTCAAAATCACATTAAATTAAGAAATATTTCAAGAAAAGAAGCCTAGACTCAATACCTGAGATATTGTCATTCGTATATTACCATCATAATTATCATTATCATTATCACGTATAGCGAATAAGATGCGCTGAGCGCACGATTACAAAAAAAATAATGCGAGATTGACTATTATAAGCAATTGTGATCATTGTATGTGAGTGCAATTGGCCTTCAGGTTTGAACAAATTTCTCTAACGTAACACGCTTTTGTCGCAGAAATGAAAGTTTCAAAGCCTAATCTCGAGCCTCTGAACCATAACAGGCCTATATCATCGAAGTTTTATAAGCAAATCGTGGTACACGCTCTATAAAAGTAAACAAATGTTGCAAGCTTTGCATTTTTTCGATTGATTATAATCCGAGAGCGTATGCGTGCGAGATAGACAGTCGTCGAATGGTTATATAGTGCTACTATAAAAATACGTATATAAGAGTCGAAACATTCCCCCCAAATTTTTGGTATTCCATTTGAGTCAGTTTTATCTTGGTAGACTTTTTATAACAGAAACTTATGAATATAAGGTGTGGGTAAGCTCGTTTTAATCTAAACTTCGTAAAAGTGAAACAGGCCAAAATAAATCAACTAATCTTCCTGAACGGGAAGAAATTTTTCAAAACGATAATACACAATATTGTAGGCTTAGTTCTCCGATTAAACCAAACTGACTTTTTGTGAAAAATAAGTCAAAGAATTTTCGTACTCGAATATTTTTGTAAATTCGATCATTTTAATCAAGATACAATTTCTCTTCCATCACGAGTCGCTCCGGTAATGATAAAATTGATTGCAGCGTATAAAATATTTTTCTAAAATAAAATCAGTGATGAAAAACTTGGGACTTTTCAGCCGTGATTGCGATCGTAAACCGTGGAATTTTGCAACGGTCTTTTTCCATTTTTGAAAGAAAAGTAAACACAACATAATCTGTAGCGAGCTCAATCATAATTCACTCGATGTCATATTCTTCAAATTTATGGATACAATTGGCGAAGAAAAATTGTTATAATCGTTCCTTGTTCATCATTGTCTTTTTCTCTCGTGCTCTATTGCAAAGAATTTACTATAGAAAAGTTGAAGAATTGAGAGCGAAAATTTATCATCATAAATATCAAATTTAATGCAGGGTTATCTGAACTAAACGATTAAAGTTGGTTAAACTGTTGAATATTACAAAAATTGTTATATACTCGGCTATATAAATTATAAATTTGAAGAAATGAGATATATTAATTAGTTGATAGCAAAATAGATTCTGGATGTTAAATTATACTAAAAAAGATTTGTAAATATTTAAAGAAAAACTAAACATTAGTCCTACGTCGTTCACTTCTTTGCCAACGATACGAAAGTTTTGCGGAATTTGTAGATTATATTCGCGGAGGAAAAATTTCCCGTCTACGTGTAACACAAGTAGTTGTTAGATAAAAAACAAACAAGTGAACAAACCGATTGGAAAAGTTAGTTAAACATAAATCTCTTCTCGTAAGTAATAAAAGGAAAATAAGTTCATCCAATCTAAGTCAGCAGTAGCGACGCGAGAAAATCTAGTCAAGAAAATATCAAAAATGTTGTTACAATCAAATAAAATATAATTAAACGCATACGCACTTTACTTCGACATTACGTTCAGTTTCGCGTGCGTTTCAATTCAATGTTATATTATATTACGCTTAAAAAGCACAAAAAACAAATTTAAAACTGCAACCTTCCAAAAAAGAGGATAGATCCAGAATGATGGCGCTATAATACATTTACGATATAAGTGAATTCATCTGTAATTATCGTGTAAATATTAATTAGCCGAAGAAATAATTATTTTTCGTAATTCTAATAGGTGCAATAAAAAAAACTGAAATCAAACCGACACATTCCCTTATAAATAAATCCATAACGATATAATTTAGCTTAAATAAAGTACCGTAAATCGTACATACGAATCGTAACGAGTTACGACTTGTGCATATAGAGCCAGTTGATTATGTCTGATTCTTGCAACTGACGCGAGCGAGCGCGAGACTGTTCCATAAGTGATCGCGACATTTCTGGATATATCCTCTCGAGCATGGAAGAAAAAAAGAGAAATAATTAAACGCCAAGCGCGGATTGTGTACAAATAAAACATTTATGTATTTAAACGCTCGAATGCAGAGCATTCGGAGCGCATATCGCAGTCTATAAAAATACGCTTTTTTCCTTCTCTTTTCATTTCTTATATGTATTGAAATATGTTTATAAATGTTTGCCACTGATAATGTTTTCCGTTGCCACATGTATAGCAAGCGATTTTTTTCATTGAATTCGATATTTACTGTATACACAGCAGTGATTCGGTGCGCCGGTCAATGTAATTGACGCGCTCGATTGGTGCACACGCCAACCGAACAACAATTGTTATAATTCATATTTATTATTATACTTGAAAGAAAATACACTTGTGTTTTGTTCTATAACGTAAGCTCTCTTTCTTAAGAAAACAATTTTCCAGTAATCCTTCTGCTACCGTCTTGTGCACGTTTACCTCGCGGCAACGTGATTTTTTTCGATAACATAATACGAATTCATGCAAAAGTCTCGGCGTGCAATCGATAAGCCGAAAGCCATTGCATGTGCGCGTTATCGCATTTATACATACTCTTACTTATGTACTCGTACACAAGTACGGCGCTGATTTATACGTATAAACAGTACCGATCGGCTTTATCGACATTACGCAAACTGTCCAGTCTTGTGTGTGTGCGTATGAGTAAACGCTTGCCACACGCTTGTCTGCGTAGAATTACCAAGTCCTCAAGTTCGTTAACTTCGAACAGATATAGCTTCGATCGCCATGAAATCGTACAAATCTCGTGTCGTTTAGCTCCGTCGAGTAATCGTATACGGCTCCATATACGTGTGTCTCGTCTCGTTCCGCGCATATATATGTCTGCTGCTCGGAAAAATCGATAATTACGGTATAGCTAGTGACATCTGAGGTGGAACATCGGTAGCCAGTTGTATACAAACAAGGCAGACTGTACACACGATCAGACGCCGCGGAGGAAGGAAAAGAAAAAAACATCTCAACCCCACGCGTTATAAGTGGGACCGTCATCGTATAGCCGTAGAGTAGTGAAAAAAAAAGCAAATTAATACTGCAGAGAACGCGAGGTGCAACTTATTAACTGCGGCACTGCGCCGCAAACCTGTTCAGTCGACGAGTGGCCGCGCGTCGAGCCTCGATACATACATACGTATATAATAATATATAAAATACTATATAAGCGCAGCGCACAGTGCAGCCTTTTATATAACGCCGAGAGAGAAGGAGCGGAGCGCAGTGCGCGCACCGGACTCGAGATCCTTTACTTTTGAATTTTTTCAAGCATGATTTGAAAGGGTTTGCTTCTTGGGCAAGGACAAAAACGAAGGAACAATGAGGGGTATACTGATATTCGATCATTTGAATGACGTTTTGTTTACCAAGTGCGACAGGCACTTTGCCGAGCACATACAAAAGCTGGCCGTGGCGCAAGGATTACTCGGCGAAAACAAGGTAAGCTTTTCAAAAATTAATCGGTACCTGTTGAAATTATTGAGAGGAATATAAGTGTAAAATCGAGTCTAAAAAACAAATCGACATTCTCGAGACTATCGAGAAATACTTTTCTCTCTGTGAGAATGACTTACGGCAAGCTTTTCATGGACACACGGCAGGTACACACCATGAGAATGCAGATGAGCGAGTGATTATATAAAAGCCTGCATGTACAGCAATAGAAAAAGTGTGTTGCAAGTTTTCACGTAAGCTAATATTATTTAAAATGCAAATCCTGCCTTATTAATCTAATTTTACCTTGATGCCTGATAAAGCTTAAATTTTTACCGTTGTAAATGCTGCTCGATTTGCTTCGAGTTAATGAGAAGTAAATCGCAAAAACTGATTTGGATCCATGAATAATTCATTTATGATTAATTTAAATCGGAAATGTACGATTTTTTTTCAAATAGAAAATTTTAGAAATCAATTTGCTCGGATTGATTTGAATTCATAGCATTGACGCTTTTTTCAGGATGAAAACGAAGCAGAAAGTTTCAAGCCCAATCCAAACATTATCATGCAACTTTTTTCACCTCTCATCACTTCACAATGTGTCATGGCATCACAATTTGGTAATACGTATAAAGTCATGAAATGTTTGGATGGTACAAATACAGTATTCGATGAATACATGGGATACACATTTGTTTATGTATCTCATGAAGATACTGACTTGATGAAAAGGACTTTAGGCGTATGTATTGCAATTGTTAAACACTTGTGTGGCCCAGATGTTTCTTTGTGAGTACTTAATTAATCAACTTTTATGACTTGAAAGATGTAAAATAATTAAAAAAATGCATTTTTCAATTAAAGGTTGAAGTCAAGCAGACAAAAAGTTCAGCTTGTGTCACATCTCATGGATGCATGGCATTGTCTGAGAAAAACTGAACAGAACATTCTCACTGAATCGGTCGAGCAATTATCTGTCAATCCAGAATTAGGATCAGCAATTTTAAAAGTGTTAAGTGATGCAATCGACAAATTGAAAACACAGGCAGAATTTGCCAATATACACTTGTTGGTGCTAGTTCAACATAAGTTTCTCTCGCTCTTCTCAAGCCCAAAAGCACAAGATTTGCTTGGATCTGATATATTGTTGATGATTTTGTTGTGCTACGTAGCTGATAAGGAAAAAAATGGAGAATATGATATTATGGTAAAAGATACTAAAGAGGATTGTATTCTAATCACTCGGAGCAGTGCTGTGAACAAAGAAGATGAATATGTGGTGCCAGGTAATGATAGAAAATTATCAAATCCTACTTCTGAAGATATAAGTATATTATTTGGTACGTATAAAATTCAGTCAAAATGTAATTGTAGAACTAAAATACCAATGAAAATATTTTTATTTCTTAGAAGGATCAAGACATTCATCTATATGTGAAAGTTTATGTTTATTTGCTCTTGAAGGATTGTACAGTCAAGTAATGATTCTTGGATCAGAAGAATGTGGCTATACTGCTAATGCTGTTCATGTTTATGAAATAGCAGATGATATACATTTAGTAACAATAATAGAAATGACAAATATGTCCATATCATTTGGACTGTATAACAGTTTTTATCATTTAAATGTCATGAATGGTTTACAAATGCAGAGAGATTTTGAAGATCTGAGGCCAGCTTTAGATCACTTGGATGCATCTATTAAAAAAACCTTTGATGGCATAAAAAAAAATAGAGGATGTATTCGTAATGAAGTAGAAATGTTTCAAAGAAGATTACAAGTCAAATGGGATTTTATTAAGAAAAAATATTTGGAAATTATCAAATCTAGAGATCCAGATGCTATTTTACAAATTGAGGCTAATCAAACTGCTTTCACAGATGCATTAAGAGATTTGTTTAGATTAACGTGTTTAGATAAAAATTTTCTTAAACTTGGAACTGACATGATAACAACAGTCAGTAGACTTGTGAGTCAAAAACTGAATGACATCAGTGATTTTATCAAAGTTAAAGCATTAAAAAATGTTGAAGCAGCATCATATCCTTTTTGTAAAATTTATTTACATTTATATTTTAAACATATGCATCAATGGAATTTAAATTATTATCCTTAATTTAAAAAATCTATGTTTACGAAAAATTCATTACCCATCAACAAATATCTGGAAGAATTCCCTGGATTGGTGCATTTCATTTATGTAGATAGAACAACACATAGACAAACAGCTCCAATGATAGACTTCACTAACAATGAAATCTTATCATTGACAAAAAAGAAGGTAAAGTATTTTTAGTTTGGAGTAAGTAATAAATTATTTAATGCAACGAATCCAGTCAAATCAGTTTATTTTTACACAAATTTGTAACTGAAAAATTTTTTAAAACACCCAACTACTGTTTTTTTATTTTTACCAGTCAATATTCACTTTTTTGTTCTAGATATGGTCTATGGTTGAACAGAGTAGGGTACATTTACAAGAAGGGCACATGACAGTAATGTGGAAAGACACAACTTTTAATTATTCATATTTCTTATGGTTTGAAGATGATTCTGTAAGTAATTCGATTATTTAAGTAATGTTTAGATTTAAAACTGTCAACGCTGATTTTTCCAGGGTACACCATTAAAATGTAAGACAATATTTAACCATGTAACAAAAAATCTTCCTCCACCTGGAATAATTTGTGGAGACTATTACAGGTTTGTTACGATTTCTTATACTATTGAAAAACTAAGATTATTTAAATAATATGCATTTTTTATAAAAAAATATTTACTTAAACATATTATTTATATACTTTTAGGAAACTAGCTAACATTTACTTCCCAAAACTTTCAGCAAACAAAGTGAGAGTTTATGAACTATATTGTGTACATTTAGGACTTGTAACTTCTTCTTGTGTCTTAGAACACTCTAGGAGACTTGCAGCTACAATTTGGGAAGTAACAGGCTTAGCTAATAATCCAGCTGATTTGTTATAAATTTTTCTATGCAATAATGTAAAACCGATCAAGTGCAGTAAAATGAATTTTTAATGCTGCAAAAACCGTTTAATAGTATTTAAGGAACATCACTTGTTTAATTTAAAAATAAAATAATATAATACAATAATCATACAATAAACAAGTAAATTATGATTTTGCAATAATAATTAAAAATATGACATCCTCAAAGCATGTTGAAACAAAATTCAATTTTTAATAAATAACAAATTATACAAAATCATTTGTATGCATCATTTTAGAATTTTATCTAGAATCACTCTCTCAAAATCGTGTTTATTATAAAATTTATATTATAAAGTTATTGTAAAAGTAACGTTTGAAAATATTTTTAATTGGTCTACCACTTTTTATTATCTTTTTAAATATGATGATGAAGCATATATAGGTGAAGATGATGAACGCCGTGAATTATGATATGCATCTCCATCTCCTGCCTCTTTATCGTCTGGGATAGTAATGCAAGGAGGTGGAGATTTAGGTGATGTTTCTCTATTTTTTGACTTGCTTTCTATATTTCGTGAATGTCTCTACAATAGATGATAAGAATACAAGATTATTAACTATAATTGGAAGAAATTATATCAGTAATAGTGAATAATGGGAATGTTTGAGTATACCTTTGAAAATTTAGATATTTCTTCAGTGTCTTCTGTGTGTTCCTCATCAGGTGATTCAGGGGTTTCCGATATAATATGAGACAATTCATCACCATGTGGAATAACTGTAGTTTTAAATTCTGAACTTGATGAATATCTTCTCAATGTTTTCGAATCGGATAGATTTTCAGAATGTTTGGAAGGTTGATTACTATTATTTAAGTTTTTGCGAGCCATTTCAAAATTTCTTTGCAATTTGAAAAAATTTAATTTAAATATTTCAGTTTCTAGAGCCTTAGCTTCAATTTCAAGCTCGTGCACTTTTTTATCACTTTCATTAACAACTGGAATACATTGATTTAACAAAGCATCAGCAGCATTTTGAATCATAGTGACTGCTTCAACACCGTGTTTTTGGTCTAATTCATTCCTAAAAATTCAATAAATTAGAATTTCAAGTGAAAAAAGTACTAAAGAGTAATTCCATTATTCGGTACCTAATCTTTTTGTATACTTTGTCAAATGCATCAAATTTTCTAAGGGTAAACTTAGGAACTGGTTTATAATCTGATCCATCAGGCTTTGTACAATCAGCTCCAAGATTATTGATTCTCAATGATACTCGTTGAAAAACATTACTAGAACCAAAAAAAAATTAGAATACATTCCATACATATACATTCTATATGATTGAATTTATTTACCTATGTTTACGAAGTATTAGGTGTTTACATTTATGTGTTCCACCTGATTCAGACTTTGAGCAAGAGAGCAACATGAAAATAAAATTTTCTTTCGAAAGGGATTCATTGTTCTTGGAAAAAAAAGAAGACAAGTTTTTATGCAGATGTCGGTCCCTTAGACTTGATGCCATGTAGTTATGATCTTCTCGATAATGGTACCATCCTATAACTCGGTCCTTCTGTGCATCCAAAAAATGCATCAATTTATTTTCTTTTAAGGCTCCATGATTTTCAAAAAAAGGTTTTATTCTTGAAGGATAAGCTACAATGCTTTTTATATCTGAAAAAAAAACAAATGCACTTTTATTTCATTAATCATGCAGAATTATGAGCTTTATATAAAAACTTTACTGACTTATATATTCTTTAACATTCTCTATATTTTCTCCTTCAGTATCTGTCATTTTTCTTGTAACATGAGTTGCTGTTTCTCCAAGTAAGAATCCAAACTAAAATTAATTCATTTGAACAAAGTTAGAAAATTTTTGAAGGAATGCACAGAATGTTTATATTCTTTATTTTCAACCAACCTGCTCGAGAGTTCTGCAATTTTCATAAAGGAGCATCGAAAGCGCCGGACCCGATATCGTAGCTACGAGATGCTCTTCGTCGGCAAACGAAGCACTTTTTTCCACGTTTTGTTGCATGACGTTTATGGGTTCTTCTTGTTGATGATCAATGAAAACAACAAACAAAATCACAAAACGGATCGAACGAACATGCACAACTCATCGAAAGCCGGTACACGCGGCACGAGTTATGCGACGAGAGATAAATTCTGCAGACGGCTAAATAGGGAAATGAAACACAAACATAAGCAAAGATGGCGCAGTCGCAAGTTTGCACGCACGGCATAAACCAACTGTTGATGTTGCGGAGCGCGAGCGTATGCTGATAATAAAATATACTACCCAAACACAGTGTCGAAAAATTAATCCATTTGATGCTAAACCTAATTGAGTTTATTTAAACTTTAATATATTTTGGAAAGTTTTTGAAAGAAAAGTCCAGGATTAGAGGTGAGTTGAAATGATTTTCGCTGTATAACAATAACACTGAGCCTTTTTAATAATGTTACTGGGTAAGAACAATTATAGGTTTTGTCTTCGTATAGAATCTGCAGTGTAATCCTCAATTCTTTGCTAACAATTGATAGTTGATCCTGCGGTGAGTATGAGTTTTTTTGGATATTCGATTCATTTAATTTTTTCTTTGTTTTTTTATTATACCCCTACTTGACCGTTGATTGTTAAATGTCTCGAGCGTATTTGAATTTTAAATATTTCATAGAATAGTTCAAAAACTTGAAACGCAAAGATTTTAGTAACGTTCAAAAATCGTCTTTCTGAATAAAACTTTGTTTTTTTTAATGTTTCTATTATTTTTTTGGGCGACTTTCGAAGGCCCAATTTGAAAATAGTTGCGAGGAATTTCGTAGAAATGACTTCGAGATTGTCAAAATAGACGAAATAGTTTGACCAACGTAAGGATAACTTGGAAAAAAGGAATTTTTAACAACTTTTTGGATTTTTGATTATAATCTGTAATTCTGAAAATAGGTATATAATAGAATAAGTGTATAAGTTTGTAATACTGTAAAAGTACATAGTTTTGAGCAAAACAAATTCGATACCGAAATTGCATCCGAGATGAGAAAAAGGTTAGGGGACAAAAACTATAGTTAAACGAGACGACAGATGGAATGCACGTTTTTATCATATTACATTCGTCTTTATAGACATTGAAAGGACCGATTGAAAAGTCACATAAACTTAACATTCGTAAGCGAATGCAAAAGTTAAATTTAAAATTACCTGCTATAGTGACGCCGATTTATACTAAAATTAAATTTACGTTATATTAAGTGCAATACCACCTATCGTTTGATAATACGAACAAATGTAGATTTGCGAACATAATTTAAAATATTCATTCTAATTCTTTAAATCAGTTTTATAAAGGAAAAAATTCAATGTTATTCATTTGAGACTTGACTGTAGATAACATTCTTTTAAATTTTTTAAATCGCATTCAAACCCATAAGCGGCCATCAATACCGATGCCAAGATAGTAAACCTAACCAGTCGTTACGATTAAAAGCAAAAGATTTGTCAGAAGTGGGATTCGAACCCACGCCCACAGAAGTGGACTGCGACCTGAACGCAGCGCCTTAGACCACTCGGCCATCCTGACGTTGTGATGGTTAGGGAAGTCAGACAGAACACTATTCCCTTCGTAATTAGAAGGCTTGAATTGAGTAATTTTTTTTACATTTTCCAAGGTTTTTTTTACACAAAGTAAAACAAATGTAAGGGAATATTCTTGTCAACCAAAACCGAAATATTATTGTTGTATAATATCGCTTACAATTTCAAGTTGTCCCAGCTGAAGAGACAAATAATTAACTTTTTCAATTATCTCTCTTACATCCATAGTTAAAAATTCATAGCGAAATAAATTAAAGAAGTCAAGATGCGTAGAAGACCTACACGCGTATCCATCAGTAGGCGCGATAACCGTTACGAGATTCTTATTTCGTAACAATTTTTGATTCTCATGAAATTTTATTGCCCATTTCATTAGTAGTTATCCAAAACATAATGTATATTGCATACATACGCCGAAAATTTTTTTTATGATTAAAAGATAAAATTAATAGAGCTACATACTCATTTGAACAGCTTTGCAAATTGACAAATATCAAGTCCACTTAGCAAAAAGTTAAGACTTATATTTGTATGCAATGAATACTTACCTAAACAAAAGAATACTATACATGTATTCTTAACTATTATTAGATAGAAAATTCTAAACTTGTTCTTGATTAATTCAAGTATAAAGACATTTTATTGTTCAATAATATCGTTTAATTTCCTCCTAATTGTAGAATAAAGTTAGATCGTGAACTAAAATAAAACATTGCATGAGCGGCCTTTAAAGGCCTTTAAAGGGATTTTCTACATTGAAGTTAGTTTTTTTCCGAAGATTAGAAATCATTTTTAAAATCCAAATGATCATATTTTTGGATCGAATATTCGCGGGAAAATATATTTTGATGCAAAAAAGCAGCCTCCACTTGTTCGAGTGGATGGCTCGCAGTCAAACGACACGTCCGAGTCCACGTTGGATATAGGATTTCTAATCGTTACTCATGACTCGCTCTGTATGAATTACTTATAGCTTCGTCCACTTTGATCTTAACTCTCCATATGGATCTTGGTGTATGTTGCAGTCAGTACACGTAACGATGCCGCGACAAGAAGAACTAGAAAAAATGCTTTAACCGAAGCTAGTGATTACTGTGAAAATTTTTTTAGTTATTTTAAATTATTAGCGATTGTGTTTGTGCGCGAGTGCATTGAAAATAAACCACATCCGATGGCATAAAAAATTGAAAAGCTTACGAAAGAATTTCAATTCGAAGAGTGAAGGAAGCAACATGCAGTTCTCCGTCAATCTTTTTCCGCACTCGGACGTCGAAAAATCCAATATCTTCAAAACATTTTTTGACCCACAGAAACTGAATGTCATCTCACGGATTCCGTAAATTTCAACTATAGAATGCCTGAACTCTGGTAATACACGATTGTATTTTGATACGAACATTGACACTAATTCAAATGCAGCGGGATGGACACCTGTGCATATTATAATAAAAGCCCGATGACTTGGTGAAGACGTTGGGCAACGACAAATATCAGCCAGTGCAGCTCGACGCGCACGCCAAGAAAGGTTGGCTAACAACAAGGTGATACTCGACTTTTACTGACTCGACTCAGGTAAAAGTCGACAAATACCCTTAAGTTCGCCACACAGACAGTTACAACGCACACCAGTTTACAAATTTAAAAGCCAATCGGAGGGCTAAAAAATTGCTGATATACTTTTATTATTCCCATTGTAAAAAGAGGTATTTGGCTATAAATTTTGAACTGAGAATCGTAGGAGAGATGGATGAGAAAATAAATTATTTGTCTTTTCATTAGAGACAATTTTTTATTAATTTGATCATAAACTTTGATTCGTGACAAACTGCAGCCATTCAAAGCAATTTTGCTAGCAAAACTTCCGTATTTTTTTAAACGATAATTTAAAAAATCAATTTAGAATTTAAAAGAGGTATGGAACGACTTAGTTACCTTCTGAACCTTCAGTTGCATACTTGACCCATAGTTGGTGCCCGGACTCCTAAGAAAAAAAATGTTTTAATTTTTTCATTATTAAATTAGTCCCGGTACCTTTTTGAGGGTATAAATTGATTTTTCACACGATAAAGAGAGTGTAAGCTTTCACTTTTCCATAAAAATTTTGTTTTCTGGAAAGACATATTTGAAAATAGCAGGATTTTCGTTAATCGTCGTTCGCATGTAGTTCATAATAAAAATTAAATCATTATTTTATGAAAAATTCAATACGAAAACAAAAATAAGCAACGAGAAGACGTCTTTAATTTAATGACTTACAATAAGGATGTAAAATTTTTTAGTGGAAAACAATAAATCGGTTCTGTCGTCAACACTTTTTAAAGATTTATTGAAAGCGAAAAGTTCAAACTCGATCTTTCAGCAACAACGCCCGATGATGGCAGGCGCCAGGCATTAAGGTGTAAAGTTAGTGCTCTTCTTTTACCGAACAGTAAAAATGTGAGCTCATATCTGGTCGTTGAAATCGAGATCGCCCGCAACTATTTTCAATGAAAAAAGCTTCGATCGCTCGCATCGCTCATAAAGAAAGAACGAATCCGCGATAGAAAAGTGCAGCTCCTCTAAATTTAAGCTCATTGTCAAGTGCAAATCTATCCGGTCTCTAAGACTCGTTACGCGCGCTATATTCTCTCCCATCGATGTGTGTGCCCCCAGTTTTGGCTCTAACGTATACAAAAATACCTTTGCGGATGCTGTATATATATACTGCACAAATACGTTCACGCACACGCGCAGCAGCCCACCTATACAACGGCAGAAATACGTTTTTGCTCTCGCGAATCATATAGTCGGTGAAGCACGCGCGTGTATTTCTAGCGTAAGACCAGCAGCATCAGCTTTTCTCGCCTTGGCAGGCTGCCTCTGCTGCATCGTCGCTGTCTCGTCGACGATCGGTCGCGCGCGCGGAGCTTTTGACCGCCGCGAGTAGTCTTCTCTGCTCTTTTTTTTGCTCTTTTTTCCTGCGGTGGATTCAGCAAGTGGTTTTTTTCTTCATTAACGTTTGTTTTCGTGCAGTTGAGAGAGAGATAGAGCCTGCCCCCCTTCCACGTGACACGGATGACAGTATACGAGTGGTGCACAGTGACAATTACGTAGTGGCCAATTTTTCTCAGTGAGAACGAGAGACATCTTTCAAGATGGCCAGTACTTCCGAAGATACGTGGGATTACGTGAACGAAAAGTGGGAACACATTGATAAATCCGTAAGTTTTTTCTTTATACATACTTACTTATAACGTGTGCAAATTTTCGTGATACGAAAAAATGTGAATGTCAATCGTTCTTGTTCAAAAAAAAGAATCTCAAATCGTCCTCTAAAGCTGGAGTACACGCCTCGTGTGTACTTGTCTGCGCTGTCATTCGACTCGATAATTGTAAGCTCAAATAAAATAATTAGCTCTCGAAAAGAAGAAGTAAATAAAGTTATAATAGGAATTTCGTCGCTGGTTGCGTAGTTGTCAATGTCGATTTATATGTATATTAGTGTCGAAGTCGAGTGACTGTTTCGTCGCTGCGCCTCCACGTTACGCAAGGATTTATTTGGTGCAAAATGTCTGCGTTGGGCAATTACAACGGCACTCGGTACTCGTGCGCGCACGCGAGAGGGAACGAGAGAGATATCTTCTTGTG